ACCAAAATACTAGCCAATAGGATCCAACTGAACATTAAAAGGATTATTCACCATGACCAAGTGGCATTTATCCCTGGGCTGCAAGGTTGGTTCAACATCTGCAAATCAATCAACGTGATACAATATATTAACAAAAGAAAGAACAAGAATCATATGATCCTCTCAATAGATGCAGAAAAAGCATTTGACAAAGTACAGCATCCTTTCTTGATCAAAACTCTTCAGAGTAGGGGCGCCTGGGTGGCTCAGTCGTTAAGCGTCTGCCTTTGGCTCAGGTCATGATCCCAGGGTCCTGGGATCGAGCCCCACATCGGGCTCGCTGCTCGGTGGAAAGCCTGCTTCTCCCTCTCCCACTCCACCTGCTTGTGTTCCCTCTCTCTCGCTGTCTCTCTCTCTCTGTCAAAATGAATAAATAAAATCTTTAAAAAAATGAAATAGTATTAAAAGAAAACTTCAGAGTATAGGGATAGAGGGCACATACCTCAATATCATAAAAGTCCCCTATGAAAAATCTATAGCGAATATCATTCTCAATGCGGAAAAGCTGAGAGCTTTCCCATAAGGTCAGGAACCCGGCAGGGATGTCCACTATCACCACTGCTATTGAACACAGTATTAGAAGTCCTAGCCACAGCAATCAGACAACAAAAAGAAATCAAAGCCATCCAAATTGGCAAAGAGGAAGTAAAAGCAAGTTACACAGCAAGAATATATCTATGTGATCAACAGGTACAAGATAGTTCTAGAATCCTTTTGGGCTCCCTGTTCCAGAGTGTTCCATGCATCCATCAGTGATTCTTGATCTAAGAAGTATGTCCTGCCATGGTATTGCAGAACGAGGACAATGGGAGCCTATGCCAGGTGTCTCTGGATGTCTTGTTGTGGGGTAGCCTTTGGTTGTGAGGTTATCCTTACTTGATGCTGTTACTATGCTGTGTCCTTCTCTGCAATAACCATAGATTTGTAAGCATTGTTATTTGGGGTCCTGTGAGTGTCCTTTAGCAAACATTAACTGCTGCCATTAGTTCAGCTGGTATGAGAAAGGGGATTAAACGTCCACCCCCTGACTCATTTTTAACTAAAAATATGGCTAAGGCATTATTTAGATAGAAAAACTATGATTCTGCTAAAGGGGGTGGAAATGAATCATTAATGCCAGATGGTTGCCAAGTCACCCTTGGTTTGAAGTAGCACATGCTTTGAAAGCAATTACTGACATAAACTTTCCAGGGGAATCTGAACATGATAAAACCTAAGCCTCAGGATCTAACAAAATGGATTAGCAGGAAACTTCAAACTGACAGCAGGGTCTCATAATTCGGTTCCATGGTTGCTGCATTCAGCATTAGCAAAAATAAAAGCTCCAAGGGGTGCCTGGGTGGCTCAGTTGGTTAAGCGACTGCCTTCGGCTCAGGTCATGATCCTAGAGTCCCGGGATCGAGTCCCACATCGGGCTCCCTGCTGAGCAGGGAGTCTGCTTCTCCCTCTGACCCTCTTCCCTTTCGTGCTCTCTATCTTTCATTCTCTCTCAAATAAATAAATAAAATCTTTTAAAAAATAAATAAATAAAAAGCTCAGAATCTCCTTTGGTTGAGCTTTACCCTCTCTGGCCAGGAGGTGGCGCTTCAACCAAAGGAACCTGGGCAGACATACCTGATAAATGAGCTACATCTGTGAGACCAATTACTCTTAAAAAGGTGATTCAGGTGGGACAAATTAACAATGGCGGACAAGAAAACATAAAAGGAACGGATTGTTGAGTGAAAAGAATTTTGACTTTTCAGTGTGTTAAAAGCAAGCTCCCTGAAGAGCCCTTGTTGAAATGGCTATTGAGAATTTTAGACCAAGGGTCCAAGTCCCCATCCTTGAACACCACTAAGTGGAGAGAATGTTTGCTCACTCCTGAGGGAATGTTTGGGCTCACCTTGCATCTTCAAATGGCTGCTACCTTTGTGGCAATGGTTCGTGCAGCAGTGGCTAATTTACCAGGGGGATCAAGGAAGCCATGTGTCACACATACCCAGTCTGAGCTCCTGGTTCTGGTATATTTCACACACATGTTGGTGGTTTCTAACCAAGAGAGAAAGCATGTGCTGTGTGGCCCTGTGGAGCGAAGACAAGTGAGCTCCCTCCAGTCCTCTTCCCTTGCTATGAGGCAGCCTTTGGCTGTGACACATATCCTTATTTTAATGCTGCTGTCACATTGTATCCTTTTCCTGCAAATCACAGATTTGTAAGATTTGTCATTTTGGATCCTTGGAGTCTTCTTTGTCAATGGAAATCTGTCTGACTCCTGCCATTAGTACAAAAAAAAATCCTCTTGCCGTCTTGTAGTTTAGTAAGAGCTGAATAGGAAGTATGGGGGGTCAGCAGGCAGGCTGGCATGACTGACAGGGAAGGTTTCTCATGACCCATAGGGTTGGTCATATAGACCTCTGCAGTGAAGTCTGAACGAGCTAGGATTATTTTGCCCTAAACCCATAACCAAAGAGCCCACTGAGGATTTTGAGAAAGAGGAAAATTAGAAGATATTTGGGTCTGGGGAAATTTTATCTGGAGGAAGAATGCATTATAAGTACTCAAGAACTTTAAGTTCCCATAGGAACTTGGAAGCGGAAAGCAATAGATTTCTCTCTGAGCATTAAGCGGTGACACTTAATGGATTAGGCCAGTGATATGCAAAATGAAGATACGGCATAGTTGACCATTAATATATTCAATGTGTTGTTGTATGCAAAAATGTACAGAGTCGGCAGCTTGAACATGTCCCATGGAACCTTAATCCCAAGTTCAAACTTCCGGTTCTCCTGAACTGAGCTTCCACTGCTGCAGCCTTCGGGAAGCTGGGCCATGGGGCTTAGGCCCCCAGGGGAGTGCTGTCAGGAGCAGTGTGCAGGCCTCTCTCTCCAGGAGCTGAACGTGGGTTGCTGGGAAGAGTAGCCCGGGGCGGGGGCGGGGGACTGCCTTCTGTCAAGAGACTATCACCACTTACACAACTCAACCAGTCAGATTTCGGCCGTAATGAGCAAACAAAACAGTACACAGAGAAAGAGGTAAACATCAAGCAGCTAATAGAACAACCCCATAAAAAATGTGCAAGGAGATAGACCGAACAATGCCCACAGAGGAAAACACAGGGAGGACATTTAAAGAGATTCAAATACGGTCAAATAAAAGACATCCTGGAGAGAAAAAAAATAAAATAAAATAAAAAATAAAAGACATCCTGGAAACAAGAGCTATAATTTTCTTATTTTAAAACTCAGACTTCTGGTTTTGGCTCGGAGATGCAGAGGCCTGGCAAGCTATCACTCCTGCTCTTACAGTAAGAAAAAAGCTGGACAAACTGAAAGTCAACCACTTACCTTAGCCATCAGAGAACTGTCTTGGGCAGATGGCCATACAGAAATCTGGAGAAAAGAGTGTGCCTGCAGGGAGACCCAAGGCCTGAGCATTTGCTTACTCAGGACAGAAGCAGCTGGTGCCATCTAACCGAGGAGGAAGATTAAACTAGAAATGGTGACGGATTGCTGGAGGCCAAATGTGTGCTGTGTGAGGCCCTGAGGCTCCAGAGGGAAGTCAGGGAAGTTCCCACTTTCTTGCAGTCTGTTCCCCCAGGAACCCCACCTGGCTCTCAGAGGGAGGATGGTGGGGGGATGGGGTGACGCCAAAGAAAGCTGTCCCCCTGGGCTGGCTGGGGTCAGGGAACCGCAACCACCATCAAATCTCCCAGGCCCAAGCAGGAAATTCATCAATCCCCGCCTGAGGGTGCTGGTGCAGCCCTCTTCCAGCCAAAGAAAAGGGTTCAAACCCTTTAGCCTGTGGAAACTGGTGAAGCTGGAAAGACAAGAGTACTAAAACAGCCAAAACAATTCTGAGAAAACAAAATTGGATGACTCCCATCATCTCATTTCAGGACTTACTATAAAGTTACAGTAGTCAATATAGTGTTGGATCTGCAAAAGGCTAGCAAAGGAATAGACATGTAGAGCAATAAAACCAGAGAATCCAAATACAGATCCACACAAAGCGAGTGGACTGACTTCTAAAAGGCACAAAGGAAACTCAGTGGAGAAATGAGAGCCTTTTCAACCCGAGTGGCAGAGCAAATGCAAATTAAAAATAAAAGGCTAACTCCCCCACTAAAAATAAAGGAAGAGACTTCTCTCCCTCTTCCCTTTTCTTAGAGCATTCACTTTAGAAAACTTGTGAGTTCTTTCTCTGTCTCTTTGAAATGTATGTAAATCTTTTTAAAAGTTAAAAAGTCCCTTGCCAGCTTTATTACCGGGTAATGTCTTTCTCAAGGACCTAAGAACCAACTCTTCAAAACATAATTATCAGCGAAGACAGCACCCCTGTCTCCCAGTTTCTGGGGAAGGGTCCAAGCCTAACCTCAGAGCGCTTCACTCCAACTTGTAAAACTACCTCCTGTTATAATTATATGATACGTTTGTTTTCCTTTGGATAACGCCAGTTAGCAAACCCAAACAACCACCTCAACTACCAAGTGAGTCTAGAATGAGCCTAAGTGTGACAAATCAAATGGTGGTGTCGAGTTCTCTTACTTAAAGACTAGTTACTGTTTATCACGAGAACATGTATGTAATAAGCTATGTCTGCCTGGCTCTTGCTGGTAGAGTGGTAGGTAACCTTCATCCTCCTCCGAACTGCAGTGCTGGGCCCAAGGGAGACAACATTTATGAATGGTTCACCGGGTTCTGTATACGCTGGTGGTCTATTTTCTCTGGATATCACATTTTCATCTGATGATCCATTTAAACCACCAAAGGTTAACTTCCACACCAGAATCTATCTCTGGGACATCAATAGTCAGGGAACCATCTAATTAAAGACAACTGGAATATCTGCTTGTCTATTTCAAAGGTTTTGCTGTCATTTTGTTATTTAGTCACAGACTGCAACCCTGCTGATCCTCTGCCTGGAAGCATGGCCATTCGGTATTTGACCAACAGGGCAGAACATGACAGGATATTCAGACCATGGACCCAGTGCTATGCAATGTAATTCACATAATCGGTATGCGTTGTGAAGGAGCAGGGGACATCCTCTCCCTGGGCCCTGCATCTCTATATACAGCACAGACTTTGGGTGCATGCTACGCTGACTCCACTCCCTGTGTTTATCCTCTAGAGACTGAGAGACTCCCCAAAGATGTAAATGCTCTCAAGAGTAGAGCTTTATAGCTGTGGATTAGTTATGTCTAAGAGTCTGCTTGCAAGTCTTGCTTCTTTGGTGTATCAAAATATATTTTGTGATGTACTAAAGGTCCTGAACTCTATCAAATATTACAGTGCAGTTTAGCCTAATTTATTATCTGTATTAAGTTATAAAAGTACCCTTGGATGATTAGGAATTCTGTTATTATATTAAGCCCAGACCTATTTCTGAGTATGTGGAACTAGATCTTCAAATGGCTGTTGTGAAAAATGTTTTACCTCTTACCTTTGTCGGTTTGTAATAAGAAAACTTCCCTTTACCCTGTGTAGCTCAGAGAGCACCTGATGTATTCTCTCAACACAATAAATATGCTCCTGAAGGCATAGAAAGAAAAGGGGGTTACTGCAACCTTATTTTTGATGGTGGGGCATTGGAGACAATATGGGTTGGTTAGGAAATCTATTTTAGGAAGATAAAGGTTAAGCTGTTATAGAAGAGATCCCAAAATACAGTTCCTCAAATAAAATAGAAGATTACTTTTCTCTGAAGTCCAGAGATGTATGGGTAGTCCCGAGTGAAAGGCCCAAGTTCCTTCTATAATGTTGCTTTGTTATCTCCTAGGCAATTAGTCACCATTCGATCCTCATGCATGGCAAAGACCGATCATCCGGGACACCTGGGCGGCTCAGTCAGTTAAGCTCCCAACTCTTGGTTTCAGCTCAGGTCATGACCTCAGGGTTGTGCGATCAAGCCCTGCGTGGGGCTCTGTGCTCAGCCCAGAGTCTGCTTGAGATTCTCGCCCTCTCTTTCTGCCCCTCCCCCACCTCACACTTGTGGCGGCAAGCACTCTGTCTAAAAATAAATAAATAAAATATTTAAAAAAAAAAAAAAAAGATTGATCATCCCTCCTCAGTACTGCCCTTCCCTTCTATCTTTCAGTAATATAACTTTTCTGTGTCTTAGACACATGACTGCTCATGGAATACAGGAACCACATTTTCCAGCTCCGTGTCCTCAAAGCTGGTTAGCAGTCAAGGAGCTGATTAATTGTTGACTCTGGATGATGGATACAGAAGGATCAATACACTATTCTCTCTACTTCTGTATATGTTTAAACATGTTCACAATAAAAAGGTTTTGCCACATTTGTTTTGAAGTTTTTAATCAATTTGGATTTTATTTGAATTGCAATAAATAAAATAATAAAAAAATTTTGGATGACATGATAAATTTTTATTTTCTTCTTTTATAATTAAAATATCTTTAATATCTTTTTTCTTTTCTTAACTTTTTTTTTTTTTAGAGAGAGAGTGAACCATGGGGTTGGGGGGGGATGGGCAGACGGAGAGGGAGAGGGAGAGAGAGAATCTTAAGCAGACTCCACACTGAGTGCAGAGCCTGATGCAGGGCTCAATCTGACAAAACTGAGATCATGACCTGAGCAGAAATCAAGAGTCAGATGCTTAACCAAATGAGCCACCCAGGCACCCCAGTATCTTTTTTCATTTTTAAAGTATCTTCATTATCTTTTTCATTTTCTTTTATCATTATATTATTTGTATAATCATAAATATGATTTAAAACATAACGAAATGGGAAGGAAGGGAAATGAGAAGGAAGCAGGATGAAGGGAGGGAAGGAGGAAGGAAATTCCAGGTTTTTGTACCAGGAATCCTCAGAACTCTATATTTTTATCTTTAGACATCATTGGCCACCCTGGGTCCCCTCTTGTATGATGCAACCCACTGAAACAAGAGTGATTCAAGGAAGGAATAGTTGGCCCTTGGAGACCTCACTCACATTCAGAACAGGCCTCCTGCTTAAGAGCCTCTCCAGGGAGCTCCCTCACTCTCCAAGGTCTAGAGCTGAGATCAAGTCCCTCTGGCCATTGTTATGTGGGAGGCAAAGTCAAGAAGTCTTCCCCTTAGGCAGAAAGACTATAGGGATATTTCCTTGCTAAGAACTTCCACCCCTGAATCTTCTAAAGGAAAGACAAAGTTGAGGATAGCCCACAGAAGCCCTAGCCACATCTGGGGTTTTTGTTCCTGTGTTGGAAAAGATGTCATTTGGTTATCATCCACTGAGAGCATCTCTTGTTGGCCTAGGGTGCCCAGGTGAAGACAAATCTCCTCATTCATATCCATCTTCTAAAACTACCCACTCAGGAAACCTGTGAGTGTAGAAGCCACGAAGAGAGATCAGATCCTCACTTATCTCCTTCCTGAGTTGCTCATCAAAGAGAAAGGTGACAATTTTACTTTGTTCTGGTCTAGACCAAACCCTATAACTGTACATTTTACCAGGTGTTCTTGGTGTTCTTTTATCTCTCTTATCTCCTCTCTCTCTCTCTCTGTTTTTACCATCCCTGTGATGCACAGAAGAAGGTCCAAGTTTGACTTGATTTTATCCAAGTCCCCCAGTACCAACTCAGAGAATAGTACAATCTCCATGGACTGTGATGTAAAGTACTGAGATTACAGAAAAAAACAGTGGACAATGTAGATTCACAGAAACCCTGGAATGGGAAGACCTTGGAGTGGTTGATGTGCACAACCCTCACCTCCATTTTGAGGGCTTCCTCCTGCCTGGCTTCCATGAAATCAGCACACTCACATACCATTTTTTCTTGGGTTGACATAGAAGGGGAGAAAGGATTTCTATTTAGTACCAGTGATACCCAAAGAAGATGGTCCCTTAGTCTTTAGAATTTCTTTTTTTTTTTTAATCTTTAGAATTTCTAAGCTGGAATGGACTTCAGAACCATCTAGTTTTCCCAGATTTTTTTAATGAGAAACTCAAGTGACTTACTCTTGAACTTACTATGGCAGAGAAAAGTCTTGTACCATCATTAGGTATCACAATACCCCTATCAATCATTCATTCATCATGGTCTGTCAGCCAGATAGTCAGCCAAAATGTTCATTGCTTATTCACTGTGCCAGTCAGCCCTCCTGTGGTTTGAGCTCAGTTCCTTTTGGAACTAGAGAACAGCACTTCTCAGTGCTCTGGAGTCTATTCCCAAATGCTTTCCTTTCCTTCTCCAGTCTGGATAATCCCTGTTCTCTTCTCTGTCCTTTCTAGGTCAGATTGTCTACATTCGTCTTTCCCTTCTCCACCTTGGCCAATAGCTTCTTGCCCTGAGCCGAGAAGGACTAAGGAGGTCTGACATGGAAGGGGTGTGGCTGCTACACAGTCTGTCCTGGATCAGCAGTGAAGCTTTACTCCCAATGCCTCATCCCCAGGCATGCTCTGAGACTGATAACCCATGTGATCATTCTTTTCCATTCTTGTCCCTCTGAAAGGAGAACTTAAATGCTCCATAGAAGTTGGCAACATAACCACAGTCACCACATTTGTCCTCCTAGGACTATCCAGCAACCCTCAGATCCAGGCTGTGCTCTTTGTGCTCTTCCTGGGGATTTACCTCCTGACCCTAATGGGGAACCTGACAATGCTGCTGGTGATCAGAGCTGATTCTCACCTCCACAGGCCCATGTACTTCTCCCTGAGTCACCTCTCCTTCCTGGATGCTTTCTATTCCTCAGTCATTGTGCCTAAACTGCTAGAGAACCTTCTTTCCAAGTGGAAGACTATATCCCCCCTTGAGTGTTTCACCCAGATCTCCTTGGTCATATTTTCCGGGGCCACTGAAGCTTGCCTCCTTTCAGTCATGGCTTATGACTGGTTCCAGGCTGTGCACCACCCACTGTTGTATGTGGTGGCTATGAACAAGAAGGTATGTACTGGCCTGGTGAAAGCATCGTGGGCCATCGGAATGGGGACTGGCCTGGTTAACAGCATCCTTCTGGCTCAGCAGCACTTCTGTGGCCCCAATCTTGTCCGCACTTTTGCCTGCAAGCTTCCCTCAGTGCTCCTGCTGACCTGTTCTGACCCCTATATTAGTGTTGCTTCCATCCTGACCACCATGGCAGTCCTGGGCCTTGGTATGCTTGTCTTATTGCTGGGCTCCTACACTCGTATCATCATGACAGCCCTGGGAATCAACTCTGCCATGGGTCAGAGCAAGATCTTTTCCACCTGCTCTTCTCATTTTTGTGGTCACCATCTTTTATGGTTCAGGAGTTTTCAGGTATGTCATACTGTAACCTACTAAATGTAAATGTAGGATATCCCTTGCCCTAAATTGGCCTCAGTCTTGCAAAGTAGTAGGAAAATGACTCTACTGGAATTCAGAAGGCCTGGGTTCTAGTTCTGGCTCTCCTGTGGACTGGCTGTGTGAGTTAAAAAAATCCATTTTCTTTCTCAGGTCTCAATTGTCTAACTCTGAAAGATGAGCTTATACAAGGACTAGAGATTTCCTACTTTCATTAACTTATGATTAATAGCTCTCAAAAGGAAATCAGAGAGCCCTTGGTAGATTTTTATTCAGTGCTAGACAAAACAATAAAACATAGAACTCTTGAAACGGATGACATCTTTTTTTCCTACTGGAAAATGATGTCTCCAAAGCTTATTTGTGCTATAACTATTTATTAGGCACCTACTGTACACCAGCTGCTTTTACATGCTCAAGCTCAATTTTAGTATGTAGCATACCACAAGAGAAATATTATTAACCCCACTTTCAGGTAAGGAACTTAAGTTTCAAGAGTAACCAGGTAATTTCTCAAAGTTCCCAGAACAAGTTAGTAATGGAGCCATAGTATAAATCAAGTCGCACTGACTTAAAACATCATGCTCTTTCCTACCATACTTCTTTCAAACACAAACAGCTCTAGCTGACAAGTCCTCACTTACTAGGAGCAGAATAAATAATGGCCCATGGTGTCTACTGTGAACTGGAAATGGATTTATACAAATTGCTCCATACTTTTCTCACCTGCTTGTTACTTGAAGAGAAGGCAAGGGTGGAAAAGAATGATAAGGAATAATCCAGAAGTGCCCACCTGAGGCTGTGGACAAATCTTTTTATCTCTCTCTGTCTTTTTCCTCATATACCAAAAGGAGACAATAAGATTGCTCCTACCTACTTCACAGAAATGTTAGGAGGGATAAATTAGATGAAGAAAAATGACAGTAAAATGTATATCTTTTTAAATCGAGCATACCAGAACCCACAAAGAACATTCCAGTGATGATGGCCCTGTTGCAAAATAAAAAAATAATAATAATAATAATAATGCTTCTTTGGGAAATACCCCCAGTAAGACAAAACAAAATGTACCCCAAAATTTAACCTTATTATTTTGGATTCAAATCTTGTGCTTAACACATGTTTATCTTCCACTTCCATTTATCAAGCTTGGCTTCTTTTCTAAGGCAAAGAAAAATGTACATAAAAGGACAAATGTTTGTTCCACTAGCATTATACAAAATAACATGCCATGACTGAAGGTAATTCTCAGAGCCATAAATGTTGGGAACAATGACAGCATTATTAGAGTAAGCATACACTTTAGCAAGAAAAAATCCTCACAAGATACGAACATACAGTTGTATATACAGGGAAAAGGAGAAAAAAAATCCTTACATCTTTATCATAACTATCAAGAAAAGATGTTTTGAAGAGTATGAAATACTAGAGAAATGCATGAAAGTATTATTAGTTTTATTCTAACATGCAGCACTTGATGTCCTACAGAACTTTCTTTTTTCTCAAGGCAGCTCTTATAAGGTAAGATAAATCATGTTTAGAGACATTTGAAGGTAGAAATGACTGACTTCTCACTGTTCACACAGATGCTGCTACTGCTGTTAGTTGATTCAGCTCTAAGGACTCTCTTTGCAGAGTCTCTGGTACGGGACTGGGGCTGCCAACAGTATTGTGGCCATTGTTCTGAGCTCAGTTTACTCCTTTGTGCCATTCCCTTCAAGGTACATGACCCCAGCATCTGGCTCAGCCCTGGAGCAAGTGCTCTCTGTGCAGTACAGTGTGGTGACCCCGCTGCTAAACCCCCTCATTTACAGTCTGAAGAACCAGGAAGTGAAGGCAGCTCTCAGGAGGGTGCTGGCCAGGAAGCCCAAGCTACCTTCTAACCCAACTCCACTGCATCCTCATAACAGGAGAAACAGTTGTGCAACAGAAGAGGAGGCAGGAAGAGCTATCACCAGCTATCTCAACATTCCTCCTTCTCCAAAAGAGAAGCATTAGCTCCTCTGACCCCAGTGTCCTTTCCCAATGAAGTGAGATGGGAAAACCCCAATGGAACATATCACACCTATCCACAGGGGGGCCCAGTCACCACTCAAGAAAATCCTCACAAAAACAGTATGGAGGGTCCCCAAAAAACTAAAAACAGAACACCAGTAGTCCCACTTCTGGGTACTTTTCCAAAAGAAATTATATCTAGATGTCAGAGGAAAGTAGCATGGAGGAGAAATCGGGATAGAAAGGGAGAAAGAGAGTCCATATTGTTGGGCACCATTCTGAGTCCTCTTCACATAGAGTGCCATGAAAGGGGTGCATTCTGTTGGCCCTTCCCGAACCTCCCCACCACTCACCTGAGCCTGGACAGCTTCAGATCCCTGCCTGGTTCAAGTCTTGTTCCAGGCCTAGGGAAGGAGAAGGAGTTGGAGAATGCAGAACAAATTCTCAGTTGCCCTCCCACACAGCTCCCACACATATTCTCAAGAAGAGAACAACAGCACTTTCCTGTTCTGCTTCTACCAAAGGCCAAGAGGTCTGCATCAGTCAAGACTACTTCCATGCCAGCTCCCTGGCTTCTCTCTTTTCTTGGTCCTCTGATCTTCAGACTAAAATACTCTCTGAAAATAAATTTGTTGTCAGCTTCCCCTAACAAAGTCCTCTTCTGATTACATCCTCATATATGGTATACCCACAGGTGACATTTCCTGGTCTTCTCTGCAGAATGTAGGCTGGAGCGATGGGACTGAGCACAAGTCCCAGCCTTAGTTGCATTTCTGTTCTGGCCACTTGTTGAAGCAGGTCCCGTATATTTCCAGAGCATTTGCCTTCCTGAGGGGTAATTAAGGCAGAATAATAAGTAAAAAGTGATATGTGAGCTCAGTGGGAGGACTGGCCATCTCACCCTGCCCTCCCACACATACCCATACAAAGGGGTCACTCTTAAAACCTGTAGAATTGGGTAAGTCCTTTTGACCCATAATTAGGAAGGGAAAGTATGTATACTCCTGGGACTTGCATCACATTGTCTTTAAATTCACGCTAAAATCATGTCATGAATACCAAGTTATTTCCTGAAAGTTTCTTTTCATTAAGTATAGGGGAAGGACAGCCTCCCGCCCCTATCATGGCCCTACAAAAGGGGTCCCTAAACAGGCCATAGGGACTTCATTTGGGAGCTGCTGGTCTCTGAGACAAGAGAAGTATGGTCTGACTGCCTAAAGCCCCAGCAGGTATAGGGGTGGGAGGAGTGTACTCAGCTATATTAGACATCTAAGGAAGGGAGAAAGAAGACAGGAAGTTGAAGATAAATCACCTTATTCAAAAATGTAGTAATTTATTTTTTTCTTCAAGTTTTTATTTAAATTCCCATTAGTTAACATACAGTGTAACATTAGTTCCAGGTGTAGAATTTAGTGATTCATCATTTACATAAAACACCCAGTGCTCATCACAAAGGCCCTCATTAACCCATCCCCCATCCCCCTACCCACCTACCCTCCTGTAACCCTCAGTTTGTTTGCTATAGTTAAGAGTCTGTTTCCTGGTTAGCCTCTCTTTTTTTTCACCCATATGTTCATCTGTTTTGTTTCTTAAATTCCATATATGAAAGAAATCATGTGGTATTTGTCTTTCTCTGACTGATTTCATTCAGCATAATACTCTCTAGCTCCTCCACATCGTTGCAAATGGTAAGATTTCATTCTTTTTTGTGGCTGAGTAATATTCCATTTGTGTGTGTGTGTGTGTCACATCTTCTTTATCTGTTCATCAGTAGATGGATACTGGGACTCTTTCCATACTTTGGCTATTGTTGATAATGCTGCTATAAACATAGGGGTGCATGTATCCCTTTGAATTAGTATTTTTGTATCCTTTGGGTAAATACCTAATAGTGCAATTGCTGGATCGTAGGGTGGTTCTATTTTTAATTTTTGAGGAACCTCCATACTGTTTTCCAGAGTGGCTGCACCAGTTTGCATTCCTACCAACAGTGTAAGAGGGTTCCCCTTTCTCCGCATCCTCACCAACACCTGTTGTTCCCTGTATTGTTAATTTTAGCCATTCTGACAGGTGTGAGGTGAGATCTCATCAGAGTTTTGATTTGCATTTCCTTGATGATGAGTGATGTTGAGCATCTTTTCATGTCTCCGTTAGCCATCTGTACAGAAATGTGGTATTTTATTTTTTCTTTAAAGATTTTATTTATTTGAGAGTGAGAGAGACAGAGCACAAGTGGGGGAGGGGAAAGGAGCAAAGGGAGAGGGAGAAGCAGACTCCCCACTGAGCAGGGAGCCTGATGGGGGCTCAATCCCAGGACCCTGTGATCATGACCTGAGCCGAAGGCAGACACTTAACCAACTGAGCCACCCAGGCACCCAGAAATGTGGTATTTTAAATTGGAGTTTTGGAATGCTGGATTGTCAAAGCAGGAAGGGATATCAAAAAAACCACCTAGACTAAAAACCCTCCTTTTAAGACAAAGAAATTGAAGTACAAAGGACAGAGATGACATGCCCAGGTTTGCACCATCAATAAATAGCAAAAACAGACTTTAGGAGTCAAATCTCCTAATTCTCCTCCTTTCACATTTCTCATAATCATTAGGATAAATCTCCTTTAAAAATAAGCAAAGCACCTAGTTGACTCAATCAGTAGAGCATGTGACTCTTGATCTCAGGGTTGTAAGTTCCAGCCCCACATTAGGTGTAGAGATTACTTAGAAGTAAAATCTTAGAAGAAAAAAACTCAAAGTAGCAAGGAGGAGTAATGGAGTACAGGGTTCAAACCAAAAGTCCAGGTGTCCAGATTCTTGAATTGCTGAGCTGACTGTAAGGGTCCTGTGATCCTCTCACAGCACTTTGTGAAGGATATTTCCTTATCTCAAAGGTAAGGAAATCCCTCAATCCATTCAAGTCACCCATTTCAGATTCTTGGCACCCCTGTCCTTGCTGTCCTTCTCCCACCCCACATCTCCACCAGTCAAAATACAACCCATACTTCGGGCGCCTGGGTGGCTCAGTTGGTTCGGCAACAGCCTTCGGCTCAGGTCATGATCCTGGAGTCCTGGGGTCGAGTCCCGCGTCAAGCTCCCTGCTCAGCGAGGAGTTTGCTTCTCCCTTTGACCCTCCCCCCTCTCATGTGCTCTCTCTCTCATTCTCGCTTTCTCAAATAAATAAATAAATAAATAAAAATTTAAAAAATATAACCCATACTTCAAAACCAGCTTAACTGCCACTCCTATTGTGAATCCTTCCTTGATCTCTTTTTCCCACAGCACCCCCCCAATATAAAGTATCCCTTCTCTTATGAATGCTTGAAGAACGTTTTTAACCTCTCTTATGATGCATTATTCCTTGTATTATAATTATTTATCAATGTTTATCTTATCTTTCCTACTAGTCCCTGAGGGAAGAGACCCTTTTGCCAATTTTTGACTCCCTCTATAGTTCCTTGAATATGCTAGATGATCAATAAGTTTGTTGAATTGAATTGGTACAGAAGGTAAACTCCATCTTTCTGTTATAAGTTCATCCTATATCCTCTTCAGTAGAGATGGGAGGTGACTATGACCTACAGCTTCAGTGTCCACTCATGCTATTTCCTCCTCCTCCCTCTGGGAAGAAAATACAGCCAGCCACTCAAAATCAGGCCCTTTATTCAAGACAGAGGTGGAATCCATTGTTGTAGTGAAAGTGTTATTGGAGGGCACTGAGCAAGGGTCAAAAGTCCAGTGTACCAGTCATGCATCACTGGAGAATAGTCCTCAAGTGTCCAATGGTGCCAGTACAGGGCTCAGGACTCAGAGGCAAATCAGCTTCAAGGGGGAAGAAAGAAGCAAACTGAGGTAGCCTTAGGGAAGAGGCATTCCAGGAATATACAGAAGGCAGAAGCAGCAATGACAGCAGGCACTCACAACTTCTCACAGTGCCACTGTTCCAGCTTCTCAGAGCAGAGTGGTTTATGGGCCAACGTGATAATGGAAAAGGAGACAGGACAAGTTGGCTGACTGGATCTTATCTCAAATTTCCATCTAGCTTTACCCCCAGGAGGGCCAAGGTGGAAGAGTGAGGATGAAAATTAGAGAAAGATTTCCTAGCCAGATGGCAAGGGACACTGAGCCACCTAGTGGGGTAAGGCCCACTTTTAAAACTTCAAGAAAATTGTAGGGCTGGTGAAGACATGCAAATGGTATCAAGGGCTTGTTTCAGGGTCTAGGACTAAAAAGCATAAATAGATGTCCAGGTCCAGGTGAAAGGAGCCCTAGGTCTCAGCCCTCTATTCCCTATGCTTATTAGGAATTTGGCTAAATAAGAGTGTCATGAGGGAGGCTTGGAAAATTGGAAACCTGAGTCTCCTTAATGAGTTTTGTTTTGGAAACTACATTCTAGATTAAATGGCCAGGAGATAGAAAGAGAGGGCAGTGGTGCTAGAATAAAGGAGTGAGAATAAGAAGGGGAAGGGAAAAGTAGAAAATAGAATGGGGATTCACCAGCAGTCAATTCCTTCCTTATCCAGAATCTTCTTGGCACAAATCATGTCATCAGTAAGGTCATCATCCAGGAACTCTGGCAGGACTCACAGGGACAGGAATGTGAGAACTAAGTATTACCCAGAAAGATAATGAGTTCCCTCTTCCCTGAATCTAGTAAGTCTGGTCCTTCTCTGAACTGAAGACTTATGCTTGTTGCCTTTCTATATGAGAAAGCCAATACAGTAATGCCCCCCACCCCAGATAAGGGTTCTCTTCACTTCTCTTGGGTGTCTTCAGAAGAATTATCAACTTCATCAACTCTGAAAATGCAGGTATCAGACTTCAAGATTTCCAGACAGCTAAGATCATCTACTTCAGGGAACTGCCTGGGGCTCCGGTGAACATGAAAATTCTAACAGCCTTTTACTCACTACTGTCAACTCAAGCCCCACAGTTGAAGACAGTGAAGCCAGAGGTGTGCTTGATACCAAAAATGAGATTATCCAAGGGGTAGGATCTGGAAAAACAGAAGAACAGGGTAAAAGAGGCTACTCACTGTCACAGGAGATGTCACAGATGTTCCTTGACTGAAGGATCTGGTTGTCCCTGCACCAAAATTTATTGTTGATCTGGAAGAGTCCATATTCTGTGCTGCCATTGTTACTGACTATGGTTTGTGTATCATAACCACTGGTATGAAATACAGTACAGATCCCTGAGGGAAAGATGAGAAAGAGGATCACAGAGGTGTCCAGGCACAGCATTTATAGCATAAATGAGGACCTGTATTACCAGATGTAGAAAGGCTCTCTAGCCAATGTCCAAATACGGTAAAGCACAAAGTATCTTGACGAGATGAAAAGCTCCAAAAAGGATCAGATAATAAGAGAAAGGGAAGACACATGAATAAATGTAATAAAAGAGTAAACAGATTACCACATAAGAGGATTATTAGATAATTGAATAAAAGTGGAAAGGAAAAGGAGAGTGGAAGAGAGAGGCAGATGAAGCAAGGCAGCAGGGAACTCACACTCAGGCAAAGCAATGCCTCCAAAGCCATCCATATCTTTCAGCACCTGGGACAGCTCACATTTTCTAAATTGCTTTGCCTGGATGGCAGGAAACATGATGCCAACCAGGAGCAGAGAGACAAAGGACATCATTTTGGCTGCCCCAAAAAACCTGAAATGGGGCACCACACAGCTTCACCTCCTTTTCTTTGTGGGGAAAGCTTCAGGGGCCCTAACACCAAGCCCTACATCCAGGAAGAAGAGGAAGAGAGACTGGTCATGCCAACACAGAAACACTAAGCCTGCCAAGCTTCCTTCTGTACTTTTACCCCATTTTTCCTTCTCTTCCCCTAATCTCTAGTCCATACAACTATTGTTTTCTGCCCAGAGTTTCAAACATGAATCTCTTCCCATTTGGCTTTTTTGTACTTTTGTTTCTTGTAGATTTGGTTCTAGGAAGCAGGATGTCTCCAGCCTACTTCAGGAACAAAGGAGGCCTCAGAGGTAATATGAGTGAGGCAATCAGAAAATAAAAGAAGAGTCCATGGCCAAAACCCCCTTCCCCTAGAGACATACAGAATATGGAAAAAGAGTGTATGTCATTATATGCCATAGTCCCAAGATCAGAGTTGGCACTTGTGAAGTCAACCCAGGCATGGAACAAAGCCCTGGAAGAGTCCTTTGATATGGTGGTTCATGACTGGGGGCTCAGGAATAGGGATAGGCTATAGCAACATAGACTATAAGAGTCAGATATAACTTGGATCCAGAGACCTCATACTTCAGGAAAACAGAGAATTTGAAAAGTATGTATGACAGTATCTAGCTATCCTATGAGCTATTATCAGGCTCTCCACACCCAACCACCACTACCACTAAATGGCCAGATACTACATTGGTGTTAATTAAGACATTATGTAAATCCAAAATTAATTTGTAGATTTGTTCATGGGTATAGAAATTTATAGACAGCCTCAGAGTTGGCCACGGAAGGTTAAAAGAGAATAACCCAAGCCAGTGGAAAGATAGGACTTTAAACACTTTAAGGTTGGACTAGGATATATCTAGAACCTATAAAACAAGATTCTGGATCTGAGATTTTCAAGATCAGTGCCCCTGAGCAAGTAGAGTTAAGGGTACTAGTTCTGAATAATTACTCCACCTTGCTGGCATCAAGCTTCATGTCATGGTGCCAATAGCTGTTAGCCTCCTTCATGGCAGGGCTCACGCTCTTTATTTCAATCTCTAAACCTGATTTCTTATACTGCAGTGGGTATCCAACTAGTTAAGACTTCCAAACTGAAGGTATTCCAAACTGTTATATCCTACAACTCTTCAGAATCAGGGCAAACTCCTCTCTGTTTTTTTTTTTAAGATTTTATTTATTTATTTGAGAGAGTGAGCACATGAGTGGGGAGAGGGACAGAAGGGCAGAGGGAAGGAGACTCCCCACTGGGCAAGGAGCCTGACGTGGGGCTTAATCTCAGGACCCTGGGATCATGACCTGGGCTGAAAGCAATGCTTAACCGACTGAGCCACCCAGGTGTTCCAAACTCCTCCCAGTTTTATCTGGTCTTCTATATCATGGTTAATCAGTATATGAAGTAGCATGAGTGAAAAGAATGTAGAGGATCTTGGTGCTAAGAAAGATGAGCAGAATGTCCTGATAGCAAAGAGATACATGTTCAGAAACACAGCGAAATGTTGCTAATGCGTTTCTCCTTGATTCTACCCAGAGGCATTGGAGGGGTGCATGAAGGACAGGAATAGGAATTCTATCACACACTAAGTATGGTTGAGAATATGGCTGGGAGTAGAGGATGACCTTGAACCATATGAAAGAGGGACAGATAAAGAAATCTAGTCCTGAGGACTAGTCTTTCCAGTAGTGGAGTCTGGTGTAAAATGCCTCCTGCGATGGACTGTGGACTAAGTATCTGTGATAGACTAAAATGATGGGCCAAGATACCAGGAATCAAGGGGCTTACCATGCTTCCAGCCAAGTCAAGACTTCTGGCAACAGCCTGCTTGCCTATAATTTGGTTGTATCTCTGACCTTCCCTGAAGAAATAAAAAACAGTATCCAGATCTGCACAGTTAAGCACAGAAAATAAATGTGCCTCGGGCAAGAGGAACCATTATTTTCCTAAAAAGTGTTTGTAAAAGAGCATATCTGGGGGTCATCTGAAGAAGAAGATGGAAGATGTCTAATGGAAACAATTACAAACATTCAGAGAAAGATGTAGATTCTTGGTCATAGACCAAAGAAGAACAACAAACAAAGACCACAGTACTGAAAGAGGAAGCATATGGAAAGACATCAGCACAGCTAATGGAGGAAAGCTCCAGTCAAGATCTCCCTTTCCAGACAGGTAGGGTGCTCTGTGTGCAGGCTGAGATCTGAATCAAGACAATGAGGAGGCATTTACAACACATGGATTTTTCAGAAATATGCTAGGAAGCTATGTTCATTCTCTCAGATGCTATGTAAAAATCAGGTTTCTCAAACCAGTCTTATTTGGAGGACTTCTAGAGATTAAGAAATCAAAAGCATCTGCTTCAAAACACATTTGGCAGTTGCCACCCAAAACTGTAGTTTGCAGATGAGTGGTAATTTATAGAAAGAGCCCAGGACTACCTTTTGGGGAAACACCCTCCACACCCTTGATCTACAATAATATTGATCATTACTTCTTCGGGTTAATATACTCACCTTCTTCTACTTCCTCCCATAATCCAGGTAAAATATCATTTGGTGGACAATGAGTCTAGATCTTGCAGACACACAAATTTCAGAAAAATTCTTAATTGAATTAGAGAGTTATTTAAAGCAAATAAAATTTGGAAAGGGAATAATTTCTATTGATACTTTTCTTTTGGGGTTGCTTGTGCAAAAATCTTTGCAAAGTCACTTAGCACTATGGATTCACATTTTGTTTCCGGACTGAAGGTCTGCTCTCAATTTACATAGCATTGTTTTGAATTGTTGTATTTGTATTACTATTTCTGTAACTGCTCTTGGTTTAAAAGAACCAATTCATTTTTTATTTAAATTCTATTAATTAATATATAATGTATTATTAGCCTCAGAGATAGAGTTCAGTGATTCATCAGTCTTATATAATACAAGGTGCTCATTACATCACATGCCCTCCTTAATCTCCATCACACAATTACCCCATCCTTCCACCCCCCTCTCCTCCAGCAACCCTCAGTTTGTTTCCTATGATTAAGTCTCTCTAATGGTTTGTCTCCCTCTCTGTTTTTGTCTTCTTTTAGTTGTCCCTCCCTTCCCTTATGATCCTGTTTTGTTTCTTAAATTCTACATGAGTGAGATCATATGATAATTGTCTTTCTCTGACTTATTTCTTTAGCATAATACCCTCTAGTTCCAACCACATCATTGCAAATGGCAAGATTTTTTTATGGCTAGGTAGTATTCCATTGTATATATATACCACTTCTTTTTTTTTTAAAAGATTTTATTTATTTTGTGAGAGAGAAAGAGAGCGAGCACGAGCAGGGGGTGGGGGTGGGCAGAAGAAGAAGCAGACTCCCCGCTGAGCAGGGAGCCCAATATGGGACTCAATCCCAGGACCCTGGGATCATGACCTGAGCTGAAGGCAGACACTTAACTGACTGAGCCACCCAGGCACCCAATATATCACCTCTTCTTTATCCATTCACCTCTCAATGGACATCTGAGCTCTCTCATACCTTGGCTATTGTGGACACTGCTGCCCTTTTGGATCACTACTTTTGTTATCTTTGAGGTAAATACCTAGTAGTACAATTGCTGGGTCATAGGGTAGCTCTATTTTCAACTTTTTGAGGAACCTCCAGCTATTTTCCAGAGTGGCTGCACCAGCTTGCATTCCCACCAACAGTGTAAGAGGGTTCTCCTTTTTGTGCATCCTCACCAACTTCTGTCATTTCCTGACTTGTTAATTTTAGCCATTCTGACCAGTGTAAGGTAGTATCTCATTGTGGTTTTGATTTGGATTTCCCTGATCCCGAATGAAGTTGAGCATTTTTTCACATGTCTGCCATTTGTATGTCTTCTTTGGAGAAATGTCTGTTCGTGTATTCTGCTTATTTCTTGATTGGATTATTTGTTGTTTGGGTGTTGAGTTTGGTAAGTTCTCTATAGATTCTGGATACTAGCCCTTTATCTGATATGTCATTTGCAAATATCTTCTCCCATTCTGTTGGTTGTCTTTTGGTTTTGTCAACTGTTTCCTTTGCTCTGCAAAAGCTTTTTATCTTGATGAAGTCCCAATAGTGCATTTTTGCCTTTGTTTCCCTTGCCTTTGGGGACTTGTCTAGGAAGAAGTTGTTATGGCCAAGGCCACAAAGTTTGCTGTCTCTGTTCTCCTCTAAGATTTTGATGGATTCCTATCTCACATTTAGGCATTTTCATCCATTTTGAGTCTATTTTTGTGTGTGGTGTAAAGGAGTGGTCCAGTCTCATTCTTCTGCAAGTGGCTGTCCAATTTTCCCAGCACTATTATTGAAGAAACTGTCTTTTTTCCATTAAATATTCTTTCCTGCTTTGTCGAAGATTAGTTGACCATAGAGTTGAGGGTCCATTTCTGATTTCTCTATTCTGTTTCATTGATCTATGTGTCTTTTGTGCCAGTACCATACTGTCTTGATGATTACAGCTTTGTAATAGAGCTTGAAGTCCAGAATTGGTATGCCATCAGCTTTGGTTTTCTTTTTCAACATTCCTTCGGCTATTCAGGGTCTTTTCTGGTTCCATACAAATTTTAGGATTATTTGTTCCAGCTCTGTGAAAAAAGTTGATGGCATTTTGATAGGGATTGCATTGAATGTAGAGATTGCTCCAGGTAACATAGATATTTTAACAATATTTGCCCTTCCAATCCATGAGCATAGAATGTTTATCCATTTCTTTGTGACTTCCTCAATTTCTTTCATGAGTGTTCTATACACTCTGAGTATAGATCCTTTCTGTACAGATCCTTTACCTCTTTGGTTAGGTTTATTCCTAGGTATCTTATGGTTTTTGGTGCAATTGTAAATGGGATTGACTCCTTAATTTCTCTTTCTTCTGTCTCATTGTTAGTGTATAGAAATGCAACTGATTTCTGTGCATTGATTTTATATCCTGATACTTTGTTGAATCCCTATATGAGTTCTAGAAATTTTGGGGTGGAGTCTTTTGGGTTCTCCACATAGAGTATCATG